CCAAAGATGCTCTATGGGATTTAAATCGGGCCATTCCATCAACGGAATAGCTCTATAACTTGTCTAGCCACGTGGGGACCAGCATTATCCTGCATAAATAAACTATTCGGTCCCAAAAAAGAAACAAATGGCATTACATGTTCAATCACAATGTTTATCTAGATAATAATCGGCGTTCATTGATCTTACACGTATAGAGACTAACTTTGTGCGTCCGTTGAAGCATATTCCTCCCCAAAACATTACAGAGCCTCCACCAAACGAGATTTTTGGAGAGATATTGCAACTTACAAATCTCTCTCCTGCCCTTCGCCAAACACGTTCACGCCCATCAGGAGAATTGAGACTAACTCTCGTTTCATCAGAAAATAAAACCTTCTTCCAATCATTTACAGTCCAATGTTGATAATTGCTGGCAAAACGCAATCTTGCAACTCTGTGCTCCCTGGTGAGTATTTGTTTCTTTGCCGGTCTTCTGTTAAACCAGCATCGTTTGAACGTCTCCTGATTGTTCTAGACCAGAGGTTCCCAAAACTCTGTTTCATAGACCACTTTCAAAATTTTGCTGGATCCGGTAGCTACATTACTACCAATTTCTTAATCTCGAAAAAAAGTGAAGATTAGATCTATCTATGGAAACTTGCGTTGTGGCTGAGTTTTAACGACGAATTAACAGTTTTAGAAAAAAAAACAATTAAATTTTAATTGATTGTGCTGTGAGTGGATGTCAAAAAAGCAAAATTGGTCAAACGAAAAAGTGACTCCATCCAACTTTACTTTTTTTTTAAATCTACAGTAACTCACAGCACAAGAACCAATAAATTCTCACAAATTTTATTTAGAAAACGTCCCATTCGGAGTGGTAAAAAGAAATAGTATATTTCCTTGTGTTGTAGGTATTTATTTAAATTTAAATATATAAACTATTACACTATTAATTATTATTGTTATACCCGTCGTAATATAATTAAAATTAAACACTTATAACGTAATGTAATTTCTACAATGGTAATTACAAAAAAATATAATTTTAATGAGAGGGACGTACTTGATGGATTGACAGCAAATTATCAATATTTGGATTGAGTTTTGTAAGGAATAACCGTAAATCTCCTCTTTCTGTGATATTCAATCTGCTCCTTTTTTTATTAATAAGTTTGTAACGGCACTAAAACTTTTTTCGACGAAATATGACGAGGGAAACGCTATCAGAAGCTTTTGCACAATTCCCCACAGTCCAGGATATTTTTCGGGTATTTCTGCCTGCAGCCAAAATTTTTGATACCCTCTTTTAAATGTCACTTTCAGCTCCTCATTAGTGCTAAGCTCGAGTAGCTCCTCTTGTAATATCACATTCTCCACTTCCGTTTCATGAAATGGATTTATGATCCATGGTGGTATATATTTCCATCGACAGAATATCTTCAAATGTGAATTTAAATTCATCATGCAGCTTAATCAAATGTTGAACGTATGTCTGAATATCTTCATCAAGGCATTCTACACCTGAGACAAGTTTGAAAACTGTGAAAATTCGCGCCGACCAATATTTTCCTTCATAAATTTTAATTTATCAAGAGAAGCTGAAATTACACTCTTTGTTTTTATTAAATTGAGGCTGTCCCCTTGTAATTGTAAGTTGAGGTCATTAAATTTTTTGAACAAATCTGGGAAATACGCGATGTCTGCTTTAAAATTGATCAAGTTTTTTTTAAATCAGGATCTTTACTTTCCAAAAACTCTAAAACTAAGTCAAAAAGTAAATAAAATCTTGATAAACATGCTCCTTTCGACAACCAGTGTACTTCGGTATGTAACAGCAATCGTCTTCATCATTTTCATCGCACAATTGTGCAAATAAACGCGTATTCAATGCATTTCTTCTTATTTTGTTAACTGCATTAATCACAAATTGAAGCGATTTGTGCAATCTATCACTCAAATTTTTCGCTACTAGATGTTGTCGGTGGATAACACAGTGAATCGCAATTACCTCTGGTATAATTCTTTTAAGATGGCTTATAAACCCACGATATCGCCCGACCATGGCAGGAGCTCCATCTGTTGCCTCCGAAATAACGTTTGTGAATGGAATCGATTTTTCTTTAAAAAAATCACTCAAAACATTAAATATTAATTCACCTTTAGTGCCCGTCTTCAAAGTTTTCGCGAATAGTAGCTCTTCATGAATTTCTTCGCTTATAACAAATCGAACATATGCCAATAATAATGCTTCATTGTCAGGTAAAGTTGACTCGTCCAATTGAATAGAAAAATGAGTTGTTCGTCGATAATCACACAAGAAACTTTCAACATCAGAGCTCATTTCATCAATACGTCTTTGTATAGTGTTGTTACTCAAAGGAATTATTTTGAGTATGTCAAATGAAGATTTGTGCAGAACAGTTTTTAAAACCTCTTCAACAGCAGGTAAAATTAACTGTTCTCCAATGGTGTGCGGTTTTCCAGATTTTGCGATAAGTAATGAGATATTGTAAGATGCCCGCAAATCATCATCGTTGCTTTCAGACGTTGTAGAGAACATACCGTGCACGGTGGGTCTCTTTTCATATTTTTCCTTTAATGTTTGGAAATATTTCAAATCTTTACCTATTTTATCAGCATAACACCTTCTTAGATGATCTTCCAGCTTTGATGGTTTCATAGAGTCATTGCTCAAAACTTTGTTGCATAAAAGGCATGTGGGCAATCGTTTGTCTGCCTTTGATGGAAGAAAACCAAATTTTAAATATTCAACACTGTACTGACGACACTTCTTCTTAGATTCGGCCATGTTTTGTATCAATTACCTACCTGTAAATGTGTAAGTAAATAAATAATATGGCTGTTTTAACATAATATGATTAATCAATTATTATAAATATTATGAAATAAACAAAGTTCCGGCTGCAAACTGTTTCTATTTATTAAAAGCAGTAAAGCGCTAAGATCCATAATAGTTTTATGAAAACGGCTGAACTTATTTTAATGTGACATAAAATTATTATTTCAATTATTATATTTTAATATGTTTCTGTAAATTCTATAGAAACTTTTAAACAATATTTTGATATCAAAACTCCGCAATAATTAAATGAATTAGATAGGTAATAAAAATAAAGTAGGACGATAAGTTCAATCTTTCTTGGCTTAAAACTATATGCATATATCAAATAGGCAGGTAGGTACTTACTTTTTCGCCACTTGCAATCACTAATAACGATTCACTTTACTTTTCTTTTCGAAAGTCTGGAAACAAATTTAGTCACTGAAAAACACTAATATCGATGCACTTTTCTTTATGAAATTCCAGAAACAAATGAGTAACGATTATCCTTGACATTCGTATTTATATTGGTGAAGAATCAAATACGTTCATGCAAGATTGCAAGCATATATACCACAAGTCGTATTAATTTGCACGTCTAAACAAGCGTTGCGGACGGGACGGCGGCCGGCGCGGCAACGACAAGTTTCGACGCGTTGTACTGAATATGAAATATGCAAGTTTTTACAAGTAACAGTCGCTGAGCTTCTTAAAATATTATCTGCCTATATTGAAAAGAGAAGTCAAGTCAACATTTTAGTAACTAAAATGTTGACTGTTTATATTATAAACAGTTGAAGTTTTTACAAGAATTTCTTCATCACATGGAAAAATGAGTAATCAATTGTTTAATAGTATATTGCTTCACTATCGAAACCAAATTAATTTTCATGCACCCCCGCTTACGATTGTGGACCCCCATTTTTTATTACGCCCAACGTAGACCCCCGTCGAGTCTCCCGTGGACCCCTGGGGTCCACCTGGACCACTTTGGGAAATACTGTTCTAGACGATATTGTATGATGGCGAGCAGTTTTAAGTTCACTATTTAGCCTAGTACTAGTGATTTTCCTGTTTCTTAGAGCAGTTTTCCTAATAAAACGTTCATCCCTTGGATCGCTACATCATTTTCGTCCTTATCCTGACCTTCGAGAGTAAGATCTTGTCTCGTTAAATCGTTCAACCATACGACTTATAGTCGAACGATGTTTTTCTATCACATAAGCAACATGACACATCGAATAGCCCTCATCCACCAAAGTTAAGGCTCTTGCTGCTTATTTTGCCGATAAAGTTTTTGGACTATTCATTTTTCAAGATTAAAATACTCGTTTGGCAATTGGGCATACGAAACGAACGTTTAATAAGCAGTTTCTGAACAGTTCTTATCAGTATGGCGAATTTTATTTGACCTTTGTAACTTTAAAACTCAACATCTGTTGACACATCTCTTGAAATGTCAGAAAAGTTTCATAGCATACTTGAAAATATTTAACAATGAATTTTTGAATAATAAAGGGGTCTATTCTGTAAGAATTCCTTTATATTTAACGGCCTTTAAAAATATTTTCTTCTTTACTTCTGTCATTATTTAAACGGATCTTTAAAATACATTAGAGTACTATCTTAAAGAAATCTGTTTAAATAATGACAGAAGTAAATTAACGAATACAAATATACTTTTAAAGGCCGCTAATATTTTTAAAGGCCGTTAAATATAAAGGAATTTTTACAGAATAGACCCCAAAGTCTATTAAAATATGTTACGCTATAAAACGGCGTATCTCCTTTAATAACAGAGATAATAAAGTAAACAAAAAAAGGAAATGTTGGCGAAAGCTGATCCTACCGTCTAATGTCAACTGCCATATATTTCGGTTGCTAGTATACTCCACAGGGTGATACGAATTTTCTGAAAAAAAAAAAATTACATTTTTATTACACCCGGTACAAATTGAAAAGGAACTTTTTATCATAAAGCGAAAATTATGACATTGTCAAGGAACCAACCTATAATGCAAAAAAAATCATTTAAATCGGATCTTAAATTAAAAAAAAAAAAATAGCTTCAAAAATATGACAAATTTATGAGGTTGCGTTAATTTTGTCCAATTCTTTGTGAAATAGAGGGTCTGCGTTCAGATTTCCGTACCTGTACATGGTTTTGTTACAGATGAAACAGAAACAAATTCGTCGCACCGCAATAGTATCAGAAGTCCTGAAAGCCATGCAACCGTCTATAAGAGCATATTGTCATCGAATTTCTCTTATTTTGGACATTCTTCCTCTTATACTTAGAATAATCATTCCCAACTTCAGACCAGTGAGTCTTCATCTCTATACGAAAGAAGAAAAGGATATAATGCTGAGAGTCGTCAATATTATGATTGATTATAATTTGAATTATATCCAAGAGAGGTTGCCCGATGGAAATTATGTTTTTAATTTAGGTAAGTTAATGCTGTGCCATTATCGAAAGGCCAAAAGTAGGCTTTTATTTTTTAATTGTCGCATTCATTTTCCCTTCAATTACAGCAAAAGGCCTACAGTATCCCGGCAATTCATTGTAAATACATTCTACTTTAAATTTACTCAGGGTTAGTCCTAGAATGTCACGAAGCTTTGGCTTTGGTCGAAAGGTAACCGTTCACTGGCCAAGAAAGCAGCCAACCAAATACTTTTTGGACCTGGCCCTTCTATTGGCCTGACAAAATAGGTAGTAACAGACCTAATTAAAGAACATTCCCTTGTTAAATTCAAGGAAAGATGAGCTGAAACAAGACACTACAGAGTTGACAGGGAGTTTTTAAGTTATCCTGACAACACTGCATCAAACAAATACTTTAGTATGAATAGACAGAATCTGCGCCTAATCACAGGCATTCTGACTGGTCATTGCCAAGTACGGAAGCATCTCCATATCATGGGGCTCTTAGAATCCGCACTCTGCAGGGGGTGCGAACAAGAAGATAAGACAATTGAGCATATCCTCTACGATTGCTCGGCGCTCTTATTTATTAGAAGATTTGAGTTCGGCGAGTATCGGCTAGCACCGGCCGATATAAGAAAAGCACCTCTTGGCGACGTTGTCAACTACATTAAATTGGTAAGCTGGTTCACGAGCTAGAAGGTGTCTATCATCTTAGGAGGATGCACAATGGGTCTAGTGAGACCTAAGTGCCCTGGAGTAACCCACCCTTCACACGTTAAAGATACAGATACATTCTACTTTCTTTTCATCTGTCTTGTTATTATAAAACTTGAAGTATAGTTGTAACTTGTAAAGATATTGTTCAATTTTTCCTTTTGCAGTAACTATATCAGCTGATTTTATAATAAAACATTTGTCATTTCATAAAATTAAATTAAAATTCTGCTTTAATTCCCTTATTTGTAACTAAACGTTTATTTATTTTAGAACCAAATATCGAAGAACTGATTACTAAGACAAAATCTGGACCGTTCCAAAGAAAAACTCTTTCTTATTCAAACAAGCAACTGCTTGCAAGAGAGATAGAGTTGGAGAAAATGCGAAGGCTTGAAGCACCAAAAACTGATGCAAAGATACAGGATAATAATAAAAAAAATGAAAATCCACTGCCCAACCATATGCAAAGGCTGAAAGCGAAGACTGTGAAATCGATCAAGCCGGTAAGTAATTTTTTTTTGTTAAGGCACTTGAGTGGAATGTGCAAGTCAATAATTATGCGTCGACTTCATCTTTAGATTTGTGTAACGTTTGCATTGCTTCTATGAATCTAAAAATCTATGATATGGCTTATACAAATTTCATGGAATGGAGAAGTTAAACAAACATTTATAAAGGGTGTTGCATGACGTACTGTACAAATTTAAATATATTCCTGATCTTATTTCTATGAACAAATATCAAATTCTTCATGATTACCGCGCTACAAGCGTTCAAATTTCAGAAGATACATTAAAGTAGTACATTTATTTCAATATTTAGTTTGCAATGATAACCTGAAAATTACTATGTACTTAGTACGAGTATATTGTCAGATTTTAAGTAGACCATGAAAACATCTGAAATTCCTTAGCAAACTGAAAATATTTAAGATAATGGATCGTTTCTACAACTTATGTACGCACTGTATTTTATGTAGGTACCTTAAGAAATAATATTATTGCATGATTTCAATTTATGTTCAATCTTTTTGATGTCGAAATCTTACTAACATACCTACTTGGACTTTTAGTACATTTTCAATCATAAAGGTAGGATATCGAAGAAAACGTTTATTCTAAAAATGACACTAGGGGGCGGGGTTACGTCGACGTAAGTGTAGCATCAATATGGCTGCCGTACTAGGTCCAGACTAACTGCTTTTTTCAATTTGGATAGAATACCTTAGTATATACTTTAAAATAAATATTTTTTTTTCGATTTGATGCGAAAGCAGTTATAAACTATAATAATATTATAGTTAAAAATTATATAATAATTTTCGAATGAATATTTAGATTAAGTGAATTTTATTTCAAATATATAAAATGTAGAAGATCTCTTACTCGAATAATAACTAATTACTGTTCTTTTATTCAACATTTTATTTAAACACACAAATAAATCATGGCCTCCTTAGAAAAAAATGAGACCTAACTTTACGAAGTGTGATATTTGGATGATACTCAAATCTTTTAGGCACTTGTGAGACATCACACGACTGGAAATTTTTCGGTCTTTAATGAAATCTAAAAATCCAATATGACGGCCATAAGAAAAATAAAAGTTGAGGCGAATTGCGGGATAACAAAAGACGATTGATCGTAAATCTGAAGCCGGTTATCAAATGCACTAAGTTTCCTCTAAAACTTTTCCCATTTAACCTTTACTATAGGTGTAATAGGAACGGAGATCCCTGTATAGAGAAGCGAATCTGGGACACACTGTATAAAGTATAAATGATTGATGTTTATTCAGTGGCGGCTTGTGGTAATTTAAAATGGATGTTCACTTTTTCCAATAATTTTATCTTTTGTAAGTTCAGTTCAAAACCTTGTACAAGTGTACTGTTTTCAAGCACTACAACTATTAATGAATGAATAAATGAATATTTTAGTTATTGTAATAGATGCTTTTAATGCGTTGAAATCAACTATAAACATTATTAGTTAGTCAACTGACATTTCTTCATTATTTTTAAATGTAGAAAGCTTGACATTGATTTTTGTGTAAAAAATATTACATGAAACGTTACCTTCTTTTTTAGTTTTTATTGTATATTTAATCATTTTCACTATTTGTCACACATGTTAAATAAAATAATATATTTTTTAAATACCCTTTATTGGCAAAAAACAAGTGAACTAAAATGTGTATTTTATAAATTCACTCCCATCACAATTAATAATATTACACAGATACAAACTAGAATGAAGATATATAATGCGTGGCACTCTAAATTATAATTTTCACAGTTTAACAGACCCCCTCAACCCCCATTTTCAATCAGATTATTTTCAGAATCAATAGGCTTCATCCACTTGTAGAGCTTGATTTTTCCAAAAATTTCAAGTTGATATTATTGTTTGTTTTTGAGTTAAATTTATTTTAAATATTTCAACCCACCTTACCCCCCACTTTTATTCAATTTTTTTTTTTCACAATAAATAGGCCTCATCTCCTTATAGAGCTTGATTTCTACTAAAAATTTCATGTTGATATCGCTTTTCATTTTCTATTTATGATTCTTTTTTAATTTCAACCCCCCTTAAACCCCCATTTTTAATCAATTTTTTTTTCAAAATTAAAGGGCTTTTTCTCCTGATAGAGCTTGATATTTGCTAAAAATTTCAAGTTAATATCATTTTTCGTTTTTTTATATTTTAACCCTACCTTACCCCCCTATTTATTCAGATTTTTTCAAAATAATTGGCTTTATGTCTTCTTATAGAGTTTACTAAACTGTGCTGTCAATCTAGTCAGCTTTTTAGTAAAACAGACTGAATGTTGGTTGAATACTTTTCGTGTTCCATATTTACATAATTATATTTCGACAAGAAATTCAGTTGGTCCCAATTATTGTCGCAATATGTATTGTTTACTAATAATCTAACTATTAAAACTTTTTTTTAACATACATGAATTGTTGGTTTTTGTAACATATTTCTTTGTTTTGATAGCAAATTTTCTATAATATACCTAGTGTCTTATACCTCCAACATGCCTCTATAAATAGTACAACTAACGTAAGAGTTAACTAGTGTTGATTTTCGTTTAACTTGTAAGTTTATTAAACATTGAACATAGCGTTATCGTTTTTTTAAGTCAACTTATATTGTGACATCACTATACATCGATGAGCCGATTTTAAAAATTTAACCTATGTAAAACCGCACTATGTCTACATAGTTTACCTCCCAGATATACATATATCAGTGCATATTTAATTTAGTCTTCATGATATAGGTACGTACCTAACATAAACACAACTATTAAGTTTCTTGAATTAATTTAGGCCAGTGCAGTATTTATATTTTATATCGTCTTAAAAACTGTAATGTAAGTTTATAAAATCAGTCCTATATTATCAGTCTGACACTGTTTATCAGTACCTCTAGCATTTATTGATAAAGCATTTTTCTATAACTTCAAGGGACAACCTACAACATAAACCATTATTCATATAAAATTGTACTACAGTCAAGAAATTATTCTTGTTTAAGGGTCGATCTTTTCACCTCTGAGTAAAGTTACATGTGACAGATTAACAAACAATAGCCCTATAGTTTAATCAGCAAGTAGTTACTTGTTACTTTCATCTTGGTCAAAAAACTGGCCCTTGATAAATATATAATAAAATTGTCATACTTTTTTAAAACTTCGTTTGTCTTTTGTTGGAAACGAAAAAATTTGCTCAATGCATAGTTGGGTATATTCTGAATATATATTCTTGGGTATATTCTAGACTCTGGAACAAAAACAAAATAATTAAAACTCTAATTTGGAAATAAGCATAACCTCAAAAATAATATTTTTTTTTTACCTGACGTTTTTCGGTAACAATCGTTGAATTGATACACATACTTCCAATTTATTAAAGTCGCAGTTTTATTTAAACTTTATTTTTAATAAATACAATACACAATTAAAATTCTTATATTATGTTGATTTTTAGAATTTGACAGCTTGATTGGAGTTTGAACATAGAGAATGAAGTAGGTAGATACTTAACATGAATACTATTTTGTAATATGACAAGTGTAGGCACTTTAAGTCATATTTTGATTAATTTTAAGTTAATGATTTTATATTTAAAGATTGATGGAATGAAAATGTTTTTATATCATTTAAATCACCCTATTTTAAAAAAAATGGCATTTATTATTACCAAAACTGACTAGCTCGAGTTTGACATGTTAATACAAAAGTATAAACACGTTTAGTATCGTCATTGCTTCTCTATATCTATGATTATTACTTTGTGACGTCACGGTGTGCGTTGCGCAAATTAGGCTGATTTAAGATATTTTATCATTGTTTCACTACGTTTCAGGGATCTATTATCGTGTGACATCTCTTTTTAGCTAAAGATTTTAAAGAATGCTTCTCACTCCCGTGGGCTGACTTATAAAAGCGCGCCACGAGCGCAGTGGCGTACCCAAAAATAGATATTAACACGTATAAAAACAATAAAATTATTAAAATTTAATTAACATTTTTATGTTATTATTATTTTAAAATAATGTGTTTTTATGAAATGTAACTGGGTGTTCACTGCACAAATGAACCAATGGAGAAACCGCCCCTGTGTTTATTATTTACCTGTGAAACATAATTTCTGGTCATTTCTTGTCGCCACGACTTTTACACTAATATGCAACACAACAAACCATTATAACAAACTAATTATCAAATGTCGTTTAATTTAAAAATTACAAATAAATACGAGTAAAAAGCTTTGGTGTCGCCGAAATGCTAAGCACCAAAGTAATGGCGGCCAACCGATAATCGGCACAGAATACTACGAGTGCTTGATATACTTCTTGTTACACGTCCTCTCTCTTTCCTTATCTAAGGTTTTACCCAAGAGTTGTAACAATAACTGACACATTTAACATGGATTATGAACTCGAAAATGATAGTGACACTCCATCTGTGGCAAACACTGCAATTTCAAATAAGTCCAAACGATTATACGAGAACGAGAGTAATCCCATAAGCAAGTTCTTCTATTTCTATTATTTTAGGAACACAAAAAACATCTATTTTCTATAATCGTCATTCTAAAGATTGAACATTTGTCTGTTTTTCTACATAATCCTCACAATATTTTTAAATATGAGCTGTACTGCCACTGATCTACGGTAAAAACACACTTAAAGAGAAACATAAACTTCAACCACAACCGTACTTATTTACTTTTCTCATAAATTATCCTAAATCGCTTAGTTCGTTTCTTAACAAAAGGCCGCACTCACCATTATTTTTCAGAAAATCCAGATCTTTCTCTGTGATTAATTTATAACAGCCATCTTCTGCGCTTTATTGCTGCTAGCATTGCCGAATCGAAGTCCATTATGATATAATTAAAACATGCCAAAAATCTACAGGGTGGAGGTACTATTGATATTAGAATATTTTGGTAATAAGTGATTCGTCAATTTTGATTACACATGTATATTTT